CATTAAAGTCATCAATAACAATAATATTGGCAGAAGGGTAAAGAAAACAATTTGAGAAAAAATTTACATTTAAAAATATACTGTCTTGGGAAAAAGGAGAATGATAAAGAACAAAGAAAAAGGTGATAGAGTGAAGAGATATTAAGCAGAAGCACATAAAAAATGTTCAAAGGATTCAAACCTCATTCAAATCACGACAAATAGATGAATAATCGACATGTATACCCCCAAGCCAAAAATATGATAATTGGAGTCTTTATGAATCAAAGGATAGTACTCAACACTGAGATTTGAAGAAGGAATAGCTGAATTTAAACTAGTCTTACTAAGAGCAAACAAGTTTGGTATTTTACAAGAGGTAAGATTCAATTAATGGAAAGTTGCTTTGCAGGCCACAAATATTTTAAAAAGATATATTTAAACAGGTAGTGGAAATATTTTATGTTTAATATTTTGGATTACTTTTGACATGATTTAAATTTAAAGAGAACTTAAATTATTCATAGATAGAGCACAGCTGCCTAAGCAATGAGCTATGAAGTTGTCTAAATCCAGTTAATTAATCCAAAAAGTAACTTAGGGCTCCTTATGCGGCCTCGACAATGCGCAATAAGATTATTGACAGGGACACCATCCATGCACAACGTGGCATTATTAAAACTGTAATGTATAGTAGAATAAGACACTTTTTCAAAAGATTTTAAGTTCATGTTAACGCCGATAAGCAAAATTGATCTAAAGACACCAAAATGGTGTTCTTTAGATTCACTATTAGGTAAAAAGGTTTTGAAAATTATAAAAAACAAGAAGTTTCTTTAAATATTAAAAAAACCTGAAGCAAAATAAAAAATTATAACACCTAAAGCTCTTGTTTGGACATAATACACTGATAAAATTAATTTCAAATAAAAAAATTCGAATGATTTGTTAACTACACAGAGTATTTACTTTTGTTGCTATACTGTTGCTAAAAGGACATATATCGTAGTACTTTTTTTTAAAGTAAAAAAAAAGCTTTTTTAAAATAATTCATAAAAATTATCTTTTGATATTTTTGACCGTACTACCACCTTAAGATGAATGAGACAAATGAAAAAATAAGATAATATTTTAAGATGATTTATTGATTAAGAAAAAGAAGAATGATGATGATGATAATGATGATGATAATGATGATGATCCAAAATAGCATGAATGTTACCATGAAAATGTAAAGAATAAAAAAGCAATCATTTTTTATGAAAAGCATCAGTAAGACATTAATCATTTTAAATCACAATTTTTTACTTTAATTTTTCAGAGTTTTTACTGTTGTGCTGTATATGTTACTTTCAATACTCTTAATTAAAAATATCTTAAGAGTACTTTTTACATTTAAATACACTTTAAAAAAAAAATGATTTTTCATAAGCAGCAGCATTTAAAGCAGAAATAACCACATTTTATTTCAGATCCCACTAAATGGGGGCAATCCAAGTAACACCTAAATAGTCTTTTTAATAAGTTTTTTTATTAAATTTGCTAAACAGGATGTCCAACCAAGATTTTAAGATATCTTTTGTCAGACAGTAAATATCTATACATTACTTTTATTTCCTTAGTCAGCCACTAGATACCTCTTCATTTACTCCACCTTACACTTTATAAAACAACTACAGTCTAATTGGTCAAATTGTCACTTTAAAGTAAATTAATATTAATAACAATAAAAATGATAATATTAATAATAATAATAATTATAAAAAAAATTACATAACATGCATTTATATTCTGTGGTTTGCTGAGATAGCAAGAGAGTGAGTGTGTGAGAGAGAGAGAGAGTGAGAGATAGAGAGTGAGAGAGAGAGAGTGAGAGAGAGAGAAGAAAAAGAAAGAATTATGCCAATACTGATGATGAAAAAAAATAAGTGTGGTGCCTATGACATATTTGTAATAATGTTAAGTGAAGCATTATTAAAAGAAACTATATAAAGAATTACACTGATTTGAGAATGTAATAGCAACATGCTGTCTTTATACGTAGGACAGCATATCCTTTATAGCAGATATTAACTCATCAGAAAAAAATCAACTACCATAGGACCCTGTTGTAGACGTCCCAGCATTCTCACCAGAGTTGCAACGCATTTCTTATAGCATTACAGTGTTTTCTTCTATTGCAGTAATAAGCCTGTCTCTTATCTCTTTACACGTAATGTATATGAATTTATATATGAATGTGTAATAAATATGCTTTTTTGATCAGATTTGATTTGTGTTTTTTTAGTTAGTCTTTTTCTTGTGGAAAAATGTTCATTTTAAGTAGGAATGATACCATCCTCATTAAGTAGGAATGATACCATCCTCATTAACTTATTTTTTTGTCTTTATTTCTTCTGATGATTGATCAATTAGGAAACCTTCATTAACTCACTCAATATCTGTCCATTCTAAAACATTTGTTTTGCAAAGTATACAATCTGCACCTCCTAGTTCACAGGAGTCGTTTAAACTTTAAATTCTTCATTGTATCTTGAACAAATATTTGGACATCAAGATAATTTTTGCTAAACTAACAACACATTCTTTGGCATTTAATTCTTCTTGTTCATTATCAGTAGTACATTGATGAACATTTATTAGGGGTAAAGTTGTTTATAAAATCGACAAGTTCCTGTTTCCTTTCCTTTTTCATCTTATCACTCAGTTTGTAAATGATTTTCTCTAATTTTTAAAAAAGCGGTTCAGTTGTGTAATTCTCCTCAACTTCATAAATAATATATAATGATGCTTGTAAAAGTATAAACACATGCCAATTTTTTATGAAATCTTTTTCTTTCAGGCATTTATAACGTTTCCATGATTTTTCACACACATTTCAAACTCATGTGAATTAACTGATAGTCCAAAGTTTTTAAAAAGGATTTCTTTAATGGCTAAATATGTTACTAAGTTGCTTTGTCAAAGCTTATAATTTGTGTGAAAAATCTATTTATCTAAGCTTTGTCAGCTTTAATAAATTGTGTCAAAAATCTATTTCGGTGATGTATTTATATTTTTATCTTCCTCCATTACATTTATTTTTTAGTTTTACTTATGCTGAAACACAAACAAGATAATCAAATAAACAAAAGTTAAATATTTTTCATATTTGTAACCATAAATAAAATATTCACATATTTTTAGAAAAAAAAAATTGTTTCCCTGTTCAATTTTTTAAAATCATGTCAATAAAAAAAGTGCTTACTTAATCTGGTTTTTTGTTTAAAAAACGACACAAAAAATTTACAGTTGTATTACCTAACAATATTACCTACTATAAAAAACTCAAAAAAAAAAGTAGCTAAAACAAAATACACATAAATTTATTAAAAAATATATTCCTTATCAAGTAAAAAACAACTTTTACTTAAGCTGTTTACCTTTTTTCATGTTGGTAAAATCATTTTAAATAAAAACAATCCAAATTTACAAAATGTTTTTATATCCATAAAAAATTTGAAATTTCACCAACTTTAAAATTACTTCACTTAGAAAACAGCAAAAAAACTTAGAAACCAACTTTAAAATTACGTCACTTAGAAAACAGCAAAAAACATAGTTTTTTTATTTGTTTATACACAAATTTATTTGGTTTTCCAAATAAATAATTTTTATAGGCATTCTCAAAAAACAACAGTTTTTTGAGAATGCCTATAAAAATTATTTATTTGGAAATTATTCTGTCTATTTCTACCTCTGGGTCCACTGTGTACTGGTTATTAATTTGGAGATGCTTTGTTTTTTCAACATACTGGTGATGAACTTTATTTAAATATGTTTAATTGATTATATTTATATGACTATGTTTATTTGAATATGCTTAATTAATTATATATTTATATGACTATGTTTATTTGAATATATTTAATTGATTATATTTATATGAGTATGTTTATTTGAATATGTTTAATTGATTATATTTATATGACTGTTTATTTGAATATGTTTAATTGATTTATATGTTTAAATATATTCATTATCAATTTGTTAACATTTTTGATAAAACATATTTTTTTTAATTTTTTTTTTGTAATAAAACATATTTTTATTAAAAAGTTACAAATTAATTAAAAATATAAAATAAATGCGTTTTTTTATAGAGCTTTTTCTTTTATAGAGAAATATTTTCTAAGTAAATGTTAGAGAGCTAAGAATGTTTGATAAATTTTGTATTATGTAAGTTTTAACACGCTTCATTGGAAATTTCTTTTAGATATAAAAATAAATAAAACCATACAAAACAACTTTTTTTTATCATTCTACAGCTCATACACAGGCTTTATATATATGCAAAACAAAAAAAAATAAAAAAATTGCCTGTAAAAATGATAATAATAATTTAAAAAAAATAACTTAAATTTTTCCCAATGCAATTTTACACACCCCACACTATGAAGGTAATCCCTGATACCTTCCATGTAACCTTAAAACTTATATCTTTTATGCAAATTTAACACACTTTTCACATCATCTCAAATTTAACATGTTTTTTTTATTTTTCACTTTATATCTCAAAATATCTCAAACCTTAAAATCATTTTAATACTTTATTGATCTTTTGATGTTATAAACATTAAATAAATAAAACATAATAATAAAAATATAAAACTATAAACAAAACTATTTCAATTTAAAAAAAAACATATCAATAAGACTATTGTATTTGAGACATCAATAAAACTATAAGATTAATAAGATTTCAATAAATTGTGACTTGGTTGAGCAGAAATTTGAATCCAAATAAGAAATTTTAGTAAATAAAAAAAAGATCAAAAGTAAAATCTTTATAAAAACCAAAACTTTTTAATTTATTTTCATGATTGAAAATAGATTAAAAAAAAACTTGATATAGATTTTCATAGATTTTTAACTAAAAAAAGCATTGAAATAAAGAAAAAAAAAACTAAACAAACACATTTAAAGATTCAATTTTTAAAAAATATACCTTTTTTTGTAAATTACTAGAAAAAAAGACTCACATTTTAAGATATCTGTCAGTGTGATCACAACATTCATCAACTTCATCCAAAGAATACTTTTGGGTTGAATACAAAGATCTTTTGCGCTGTATGAACAATAACAATAATGTATGAACAATAACAAACGTAAACTTTGTTACTCATTTTTTTTAATAATGTATGAACAATACATAACAAACATAAACTTCTTTACTCATTTTTTTTAATAATGTATGAACAATACATAACAAACGTAAACTTCGTTACTCATTTTTTATCACTATGTAATTACTTGATAAAATTATCTTATGCAATAATTTAAAAATTTTAATGTTAAAAAAAAATTACTTTAGGAACTAAACCAGCAATCATGTGAGGCTTCAGTAATTCTGAATCAGGTATACCTTTATATCTATCTGCTAAAAAACAATTTTATAGATTATTTATTAATAAAAAAAATCATCTTCTTAATAAAATATATAAAAAATACATACGCATTGCCATGATATTGAGATCTAATATTCCAATGTCATCTTGAGACCCTGATTGAGCTCTATTTAAATGGAATTAAAAAAAATCAAACATGAGTAAAATTATTTTAACATAAAAAAAAAAAAAAAGTTACTACTAAAAAGTCATCAAAAGAAAATAATAGAAATGTAAAAATCAAAATATTTAAACATGTAAAAAAAAACGTTCACATAGCATAAGTTAATTAGATCACCTTAAAAACCATGTAAAACCTTACTACACTACATCATGAAACTTACTTCATAGCCAGTTCTAGTGCATATGATGCGTTTCGCTTTACTTCATTTAATTTAAGACCGTCATTTTCTCTTTTAACAAAAATGTAAAAATTTCAAAAAAGTGAACAGAAACATAATAAACTATTCAGTTTATATTTAGATAATATGGAAACATATTTTGAAAATGGAATTTATTTAAACAATTATTATAATTTAAAAAAATCTTCACTAAAAAATACAATGGTAATAAGAATAATAAGTAGATTAAGACAATAGAGTAGGTACAATAGAGAGGTACAACAAACAATATAATAGGTAAACAGAATAGTATGACCTTAAATGCTTATAAAAATTTTTTTATTGCAATAAGTTACCATGTTTTATGATTATTTCACAAAAAAAAAAAATAAACTCTCTAAAATAATAGTTACTTCATGGTGTTTAAATCAATTTAAAACAGAAAAACTTAAAATTTCAAAAAGATAATGCAAACAGTTGCTTACCTTTCAAAAATCATTGATGGGTTATTGGCATATTCTAAAGCATGCCTATAAAAAATATATTTTAACAAAATAAGTGAAAAAAAAAAAAATCTTTATGGATAAAGTATATTTAAAACATATCTATGAAATAAACTTTAAAACATAATGAAACATTAGGGTTATACCAGGCTGTTTATGACTGCATGTATTGCCTAATTTGGGTGAAAACTCAAATTCCAAAATATAAAAACTTTTTATATTGGAAAGTATATATATATATATATATATATATATATATATATATATATATATATATATATATATATATATATATATATATATATATATATATATATATATATATACATATCTATATATATATATATATATATATATATATATATATATATATATATATATATATATATATATCTATATATATATATATATATATATATATATATATATATATATATATATCTATATATATATATATATATATATATATATAAATATATATATATATATATATATATATATCTATATATATATATATATATATATATACATATATATATACATATATATATATATATATATATATATATATATATATATATATATATATATATATATATATATATATATATATATATATATATATATATATATATATATATATATATATATATAGATATGTATATATATATATATATATATATATATATATATATATATATATATATATATATATATATATATATATATATATATATATATATATATGAATATACACACACACATTTAATTAATAAATAGAAAATTATAATTATTGCCATATTAGATTTTTTTTAGAGATATTTTCTAGAACAATGTCACCAAAAAAAAATTAAAACAATTAAATTATATCAAAACAGTGAGAAAAAAAAAGAAGATTAAAATTCCAAATAAAAATAAATATTAATAGCAGAAGAACTGTGACATTGTCACAGTGACAATAAAATCATGGTTGCTTTTTATATACTTGATAAAAGTTATTGTTTTATTATCATTTTCTGTTTTTAATTAAAATTTTTATTCTTTGAACTGTTGTTTTTATTCTCATTCTATTTTTGTCTTAAAATTTTTATAAAAGAATCTCTAAAAATTTTGCCATCATTTTTGAAATCTTTGCAATTAATGAACATTATTAACCCATTTAGCAATTTAAATAAACTATAATATTGAGAGATTAGTGTCAATGATTTTTGCTAATAAATGCACCTTCGACATAACCTCCTGGATCCAGCCTGATAAAAAAGCTTTTATTCCTTTGCATTGGTTTAAAGTCAAACCTTTTTCTACTCTATAGATTTAACCTTCTTGCATAGTTGCTATATTTAATTGTTATCATTTTTTTCATCTTTTTCACAAAATCAAGCAAAAACTCTCTTAAGAACGGTTTTTTATTATTAAAAGAAATCAATGTAATAAAGTGTTGTCAGGTGCTAATCTCCATTACTCCCTGTTTACTAAATCTTGTATTTTAGAAATTTGGCTTTAAAAACTTTTGTAAAATTTTCAAACATTCAATCTCTAATTCATGAACCTGATTTTATTCCCCTCTCAAGGATAATCCAGAACTATTTATATTAAAACCTTTTAACTGAACTCTTGAACTCTTTTTACCATTCCAGTTGCACAGGTTAACTCTTGTTATCCAAATCACTCTGGCTTCGTTTGCCAAAATCGTTTCTCAATTAAGCTCTTCCACAACTTGTGGACAACAAATCTATGGTAGTATTAGAAAAGTGTTCTTCAAAACTCTCTTCAATTTTTCTAAATATATAATAAATGCCTAACTGAATCTTGCTTTCCTGCCTGCTGGAAAATAGTATCTGTGGTTCTGATTTTTAAAAGCTATGTAAAACACTTTTATAATACTACGATAGATGATGAGTCTTCTGTCTATTATTAACAAGGGCTTTGAGACTCTAAACAAAAGTGTCTAAAATCTCATCTTGAATCTAAAAACTCTCTGACAATCAATATAGATTTCAATCTTTTTGCTCTATGGCTGACTTGCTAACTGCTGTAACTCAAAGATTCTATTATGCATTAATTGGAGGTGGTAAGGCAAAGGTTCATATCAAAAGCTTTCAATAAAGTTTGGTCATCTCCATTAGCTTGCTTCATATGGTACATCTCTAAAAATATTTTAAGAATAAATCATTACTTTCTAACTGCAGTATTAAAGCCATCTTCAAAGACTTTATACCCAGTAACTTTTGAGGTATCTCAACCATTGGAGGTTTCTTATCTCCATTAATGATCTTCCTGAAAATATTGTTTCTTATCTCCATTAATGATCTTTCTGAAAATATTACATCTTAATTGGTTTAATTTGCTGATGAATCAACTTTATACTCCTGTCTAAACAAAAAGTCTTTTTCTTACTTCTGAAATCATTATTTACCTCTACAAATTTCTTATTTGCCCTTGTATGGAACACTGTTTACATATTTGGGATGGTTCTTTTAATGATGTTCTTTCTCTTATAGACAAGGTCTAAAAATGCACAGTAAATGTAGTTATCATCTTTAGTTCCACTTGACTTCTCATTCAGAAATTTACATCATTATACAGTATCTGTCCTTTCATGTACTAAAAACTTTTCTTTATCTAGTTTTTTTTTCCAGCACATTAATACTTTGAAACTCTCTCCCATCTTTATACTTTCCTGACTCATAAAACCTACAACTTTAAAAGTCCTCTGTCAACTTTGTTTGCTCTTTAACACTATTTTTTGTTTTTTAGTAACTAAATTAATAGTGGTTGCTTTGAGCCTTTGTTGGAAGTAAAATAGTTGGTAAAATTTAAGAAGAGAAGATTAAGGCACTAATATCAAGAAATAAAAAATGTTGTCCATAAGACAATTATTAAATTGCCAGATTAAAAATTTCAAGAATGGTTATTCTTTATTTTAATTTATACAAAGCAAAATCAAGAATTCTTGTTTGTAGAGCATAGATAGGAGTTACACCTACTATGCTACTTGCTTAAGAAAATTGCCTGGCTGAAAACAGTTTATTGACCTAAAATGATAAACACTTCTTAACATAAATACCGTGGTAGTCAATCAGCTAGCAACAACAGCAAAGAACTTTAATGGATGCTGAATTAATTCAATAGTAATGCTTCTTTGCTTTTAATACTTCTTGGCTTTCCCAACCATTAAGACATCCAGAAAAATTTGATGCAGTTGCAGACTCCTACTTAGACAGAAAACTTTTCCACAAAATAAAAGTTCGAGTGTTCTTCCTTAAAATTTTTTAAATTGATGCAAATTTTTAAACGAGACAGTTTCAATGATGGTTTCTTCTGTCTTCTTTTTTTATTCTTAATAGTTTTAATTAACAAATATATTTTTGTTAATTATGCTTGTATCATAATATTTTGTTCATTGTTATAAATTTGACATTAATAGCCTGACAGTTTAACAAACAAACTTATGATTTTTGGGCAGGGTAATATATAGTCAGATGGACCAAGGTACAATCAGGATTAGGTAAGGATTAGATGAAGCAAGGTACAGGTACAGCAAGGTAAGGTACAGCTGTAATTGGATTAGTTATGAGTAAATTAAAGACTTTTGAAATTTTCTTAAATGTGTCATATATTCAAGAAAGCAAGATTTTGAGATTTAATTTGTTAGGGAAGAATATTAAAAAGAAGAAAGAGGGAAAATTATTTATTCAAGTGAAAAATTATTTTTATTACTAAAAATGTTCAACAAAGTAAAAGTAATTTCTGCTTTCATTTTGACAGTAAAAAGAAAATAAAAAGATAAAAAGTCAAAGTATGTTAAGTAAATCCTATTAAAAAAACAAATATTGGTATTTGTGAAATTACTTTATTTAAAGATGTTTTTAGTACACTTAAATAATATCCTGATAGTTTTGATGTATGGAAAAACATTGAAATGATGATGTCACATAACCGCTGTTAACACTGCATTTAAAAAAGGAGCTGTTATTTGTCTTCAGAAATTGCAAAAAGTGTAGTGGTAGAGCGCTCGCTTCATAAATGAGTGGTTCCGAGTTCAATACCCACCACGTCCCTGGTAGTACCGCGCTCAACTCGTTTCTGTACGCAGCAGTCTTGTTTGTCAAGGTTCGTGTTTTGAAGTTATAGAGTTGAGAGAGGGTTATAACCACAAATAAGTAGCCTCCTTGTCTATAGTGGCCTTCTCGGCCTTGAGGAGGTGAATTAAAAAAAAGAAAATCTAACATTAAAACATTCAATTTTATATATCTATGCTGTTACAGAAATCTTAGTTTTTACATATTATTGATACCATTATCAAAAAAAATAGCATTTTCATCAAATAATAGTATACATATAAAAAATCCTGGGTCAAAGGATGTTGCATTTATGTAAGTGCTGTGGAAGGATTACAAATTTTACAAGAACTCTGGTCCATTTCTATGCATTTATTATAAAAATCTTTCTTCATTGCATAGTGCAAGATGTAATGTCTACATAATCATTTCTAGCATACTTTCTTATACCAGCCTACCATCACCAGTTGGAAGATGTTTTCAAATTTATAGCGCAACATGGTTTTCCAGACAAAATTTTAAACAAAGTTTTTTAAACAAAGCTATTGTCTGCTATCATTCTTCTTAGGTTGACTCAAAAGACCTTATTGATTAATGTTTCCTATTCTAACATGGTTACAGAATGTTCCCTGGTCTAACATGGTTGCAGAAAGTGCACAAGTAACAAATACCTTAATTTCAAATTTACTGATACAAATAAAATGCAATAATTCCAATTTATATAAGCTGTACTAAAAATGTTGTTTTATGTGTGTTATATGTGGTATTTTTGTTCCATTATATTTACGATTTTTTACTCCATAGGTTAAGGGTTATTGATTGACAATATATTCATGGACAAGTAAATACAGCAGAAGTACATACATACAAAGACAAGTAAAGATGGTAGGAAAAAAGAAAAGGTATAGCTTGTTGCCAATTTTCTGTATTTTTGCATGATTATCTTGAGACCATGCTGCATTTTTTATTGTAATTTTTATCCTCAATTATAAGATATTTTAAGATATATTTTATAATAACAGGAAAAAGCATTCAAGTGTTTTTTCTTGTCGAGCTTCAAAACAACATCATGTTTTTCATACCATATCCATAAAAATACCTAACCCGTTCTGTCTTTGTTGCTTTCACATGGTTCTTCATCAATTAACTACCCAGAGTTCATCATTTAGCATCCTAGACTTCATGATTTACCACCCATATTTTAAAACTAAAAAACCAAAAAATACTACCACATGCAAAAACAATATTTTAACTTAATCTGGAACTTTACTTAAAAGTAATTTAAAGAAAAAGTGTTTAACTTTTTTAACTCAAACTCTAAATGAACTAAAAAAGCAATGTCTTTTAAATTAACCTAATAATAAAAGCAATGAAAAAAAAAAAAACATCCAAAATTTTCATTTATTTACTTAAATTGAGGGGAGATTATCTTCCTTCAATATGTATTTGAACTTTTTCTATGTTCAAATACCAAAAAAAAGTAATAAAAAAGATAGTAAGAAAAATAAGATAACAATAGATTAAAAAAACAAAGCGCAGCCTAAAGTATAATACAAGCTTGACTCTGCTTCGGCATTTTAATTTCGTTTTTAAAAAAAAGTTTTCATATTAAAAAACAAACTCATACCAGAAATGTAAATGTACGCAAACAAATAAAAATGACCTACTTAAAAACAAGCTTTTTGTCAAAAATTTATGCAAACAACTAAAATTTTATGCAAACAACTAAAAATTTATGCATACAACTAAAAATTTTATGCAAACAACTAAAAATTTATGCAAACAACTAAAAATAACCTACTTAAAGGCAAGCCTTCTTTCTGTCAAAAATATTTGCTCATCTAATGCAAGATCAGGATCTCTCTCTAGCCATCTTCGAAGATATTTGCGATTGAAGTCTTCAAACAAATCCTGTTTCAATAATTTACATTTATTGATTATGCAAAATGAAAATTAATTGAAAATTAGTTATAACTTTTTATTTTTATTTTTTAAATAATCTATTTCACCCTCCAATATCCATGACCATGCATTCCAATAACTTCTTCAAATCCAGTCACCACATATCCAATTACCTAAAACCCAGAAAAAAAGAATCATGAAAAATGCGCTAAGCTAAGATTATTAATAAGAAATCAATTTTAAATGTGAATATTTTTATATTATATAATTTTGTATACTTAAAAAAATGTTCAATAGATAAACTGCAATACTAGGAATTTGCTAAATTTCAAATTCCTTGTATTGCAGTTTATCTATTAGTAAACATTTATAACATAATATGATAACTCAGGGATAATCAGACAAGTATCAAAAAATTTGATTAATAATCAATCAAGTAACGAAAAAGTAATAAATTTTTTTTTTTTTTTTTAAATTATTCACCTCCCCAAGGCCCGAGGGGGCCACTACAGTCGAGGAGGCTACTCATTTTTTTTGTTGTTGATGTTGTTGTTGTTGTAAATCGTGGTACAACCCTCTCTCAACTCTTTAACTCCAAAACACGAACCTTGACAAGCAAGATCGCTGCGCGGAGAAATTAAGTTGAGCGCGGTACTTCCAGGGACATGGTGGGAGTCGAATTCCGAACCTCTCGCTTACAAAGCGAGCGCTCTTACCACTACACCACTACCGCATTAATATAATAAATGCAACATGGGGAATATATGAAACAATTTTCCAAAATATCATAGAAAACTGTGCTGTCACACATGCATAATAGTTTGTAAAGATTCTTTTAGAACCTTTGGAAACAATTTAGAAGAATTTTCTGTAGTTATTTGGCAGTATGAACTGTGATAAAAGCAAGGTTTTCAAAGCAGACAGGTGAGTTTAAACTCAATGGAGCAATCCTATGAAGCAAAATATTGAACACTTGTTTTTTTTTCTGCTTTCTGCAAAATATTTGATGGTCATTTATGCAAAACTAACAAAACTTTATGCAATATGCACTGCGAAAAGAAAAAAAACTTCTGGCTAAACGCACTGAAGAAAAAAAAGGAACTTTTGACTACATGCACTGTTAGGAAAAAAAACCCTGCATTTGACCAACTTTAATAACTTATTTTTATAATATGTTTATAAAATTGCACACAACACATAACACTTAATATAACACTTAACACACAACACTTAACACACAACACTTAACACACAACACTCGCACATAACACTCGCACATAACACTTTTTTTCTTTAACTATTTAATTTCAATAAAACAATTGCAAACTACCTTGTCATTTACAGTTTCAAGCATAGACTTTTCAAAACTTGAAGCTTTTTTCACGCCAAGAAACTCCACTAATGGTTTAATTGTTGTTCCCTAATTTTAAATTTATGTTAATAAATATAAGCAATAACTTTTAATAACTTTAATTATAATTTAAATGCAATAATGTAACATCATTATTATATTAGTTTTAAATATAAATATAGGATAAATTGTGCACTTGCATTTAATGCAAAGTGCGCAAAACAACATCAAATGCAACATAGAAACAACAAAAAATAAAATTTGTTTTAATTATTTTTATTTAAAATTTCTTTCCTCTGCAACAAAAACCAATTGAATCATGTGCCATCCATGTACAATATATATATAATCTTATGTACCCATGGGAGTCCATATAATTTTCTACAGGGAGGGTCACTTTGTGGATATCAGCACATGACCTTTTTGCTAAACATGCTAATGCTCAAAAATTAGAAAAAATCATTGATAAATGTTCAAGTGTTTATTACTTATAAATATTATTACTTATAAACGTCACTTGTGATGTTTTTTTGGAAACACAAAATCAAATAGCACATGAAGTAAATGATTAGTAAAAACAATGTGCAATCTTAATACTTTTGCTGACAGCCACACATTAACGAAATGCCAATTTTGAAAATTTTTTCAGTAAGAATGTAATCCTTTATAAATATTTATTAATATATTCAAATTCCTCTTTTTAATTAAATAAATTAAGAAATATTATTGATCTATAATACTGGATTATGTATGACAATTAAAAATAATGCAGCATCCTTCTGCTTATTTTTGTACCAGATACCCACAAAATGATTTTGGATGCCTTACAGAAAATTGTTGTATTTGGGAAATGCTGATCTAATCAATACACCCTGGTATCCATGATAAATGGGCTGCAGGAAGTTGATACAAAACATACATAATGAGCTCTTTAAAAGTCGTAAATATAACGTAATGCAGTTGTGAATATATTGTTTAAGCTACGCATTTTAAAAACAATATTTCTTGTTATTTTATTCTTTGCTAAAATTATTTATGACTGATCATCGGTACAGGTTTATCAGAAATCAGAAAGTTGATTCAATGACTATATGTATTCACTTGAAACTTATAAACAACTGCTAAGTCAATTAGTGGTAACATTTTGTTTTTAGGGATATAGGTGTAAATATATTGTAGAGGTAAATCTTTATACCAATATTACATACAGGCCTCTGGAGGAATAGCAGGTGATAAATATGCTATGTGTTTTTTAATTTTTTTGTTTAAGTAAGTAAAATACAACTTGACCTAAAAAACATTAAATTTTGCTGTTAAAAAAAAAAATTGTATATTTGCACAATCATTATTTTGCATGGGTGTGAAAGCACACCCATGTAAGTTAAACACAAATAATAAAAAAAATAAAATATCGCTTTAATAAGTATTATGTAATAAAAAAAAAAGAAAAAAAATGTTTATTGTTACGTTTTCGTGAGCATCATCAAGGATGATTTGAAAGATTTTTTTGAAATGTTTTTTTAAAAACAATTTTTAAATAAACATAAGTTCAAATGACTAGTGTAAGAATTTAATTAAAAACATTGTAAAAAAGTGTAACAAAACAACAACAATAAAGAACTAAAGAATTTTAGTAGTTTTTAAAAAGCTATTTAAATTTTATAAAATTTAAAATAAAATATACTTTTTAATAAACAATATTTTATAAATGTGTTTTTAACTTAGTTTCCAAAATATGACTTAATCAGAGTGAAAATAACAGATACATGTTTATTTAAAACTTAAATCTTTTTTAATAAACAATTTTTTTTGTCTAAACTTGAATTCAGTAACACAAAAGCAATTTTAAAACTCATTAACTCATTTTTAATTTCAAGTTTTAATTACAAAAATCTTTTCTTATAATTACTCACTTTCTTGCTTGAATTTCAGTGCAATTTTTAAATTTTAAAATTATAAAAAAATGTCTTACAAACAAAAAAAGTAATGAAAAGTAATAAGTTAAACAAAAATAATAAAAAATATCTAAGAGAATGAAGAGTAATGAAGGAATTTTTTAAATATAAAAATAAGAAACACAAAACACAACGCAAATCAATAATTTTAAAATAATAAATTGTTTTAATAAAAAACCAATTTAATATTTTCTAATAAATTTTTAAATTCTATTAAAATAGAGTTTAACAAATTTGATCTTTTTTTTTTAACAAATGCATTGTGGTTTTTAATAATTTTTCAACAAAACTTTAAGATGCTTAAATAAATATCAGAAAAACAACGATTGCTGACAATCGCCAGCAATGGTTTTCTGATGTATTTATGATATGATAAAAAACATTACAGTGAAAAAACTTAGTTTTAAACTTTTACTAAAATGTAATTAGTTCTAATTTAGCCCATTTTGCCCACCATATCTGTTATAGACAGGCAATTAATTGCTCATGCATTCATTTATTCTTGCTAAGGCCTGTCAAACATACACAAATATATACATCAATATATCATATATACACCAAATAGATTATATATACACATACAAGATTTTAATAATTTTATCAAGGTAACATTTTAAGTTGACCAGTTAAAACAAACCTGTAGAAAAACAGTAAATACAACAACACTCATGGTTGTTGTAACAATCAACTGTTTTGTTTTATGTTTGTCGATATCATCATCAATAATACCTGCCAAACAAAATGCCACAGCTCCACGCAAACCACCATAACTCTAAATAAAATATTTATAAAAAAACATTTTTTAAAAGCTATTGCTCTTCTTGAACTTTAAAATAACATTATATATTGGTCGCCTTTACTTTATTGAAAGTTAATGATTTTTTAAATTTAAAATAAACATACCATAATAAACTGTTCGACAGCATTTACTTTGTTTAACCGACCACACCTATTTGCAAATGCAGTTAACGATGTTACTCCTAAAGTTTTTGTTATTACAATTTTTTATTGTTATTTTTCAATAATAATTTAAATTAGTACTAAACTGAAAATTTCATATAATAATAAAATTTATATATTTATAATAATTTATAAAAAATACAAAATTTTATACCTAAAACTCTGTATATCGTAATGAACAGAAGAGTAAATGAAATAAATTTCATATTAAAATTATGATTATAAATAACTAACTCAACACCAAACAGCATAAAAATAAGTGCCTCAGTTGAAGAACTAAAAATCAAATAAAGTTTTAGTCAGAAAAAATTAATATAAAAAATAAATTACACTACATAACAAATTTATTTTGTTTATGTTTTAGTTTTGCTGAAACCAAGATAGGGGCATGGCTGCATAAATGTTGTTTAATTAACTTAACTTAAAATTTAAATAAGGGCTGCACACTCACAAATGACTTTATACTAAAATAAGAGCTGAGATTAAAAAGCTTCATTAAATGCATTGACTGATTGGATAGGGAGAAAATGCAAAAAGTGCAGCTGCATTAACCAAGGGTTTGGTTAGGGCAAAACTTTTTTTTAATTAATTTTAACTTTTTCTACTTATTCTGAAAAATCAAAGTGAACTTTTTAAAAATTTAGGTGCACAAAATATTCTTAAAAATTGTGTTCTTAGATACATTATCTCTTTTGTTTAAATGTCTGTGTATATTTTTGGGCAGGTATTATCTAGATATAAATAAAATTTCATTTTATCTATTTTTTTTTTTTTTTTTTTAAAAAACTGTTTGGATTTAAGTTGGCATTTGAATATATATATATATATATATATATATATATATATATATATATATATATATATATATATATATATATATATATATATATATACATATATATATATATATATGTCTATATATATGTATATATATATATGTATATATATATATATATATATATATATATATATATATATATATATATATATATATATATATATATATATATATATATATATATATATATAAACTGTACATGCTTAGGGATTGGGGATAGACAAGTATTGTTTTGATAAAAAAGGTCTTTTATTATGGCATAATTTTTTTTTTTTTTCTAAAAATGTCAAGCTATTTATGACTAGTATGTGACCAGGGCCCTGGCCCCAGCCCCGGCTAAAAATGATATATATATATATATATATATATATATATATATATATATATATATATATATATATATATATATATATATATATATATATATATATATATATATATATATATATATATATATATAAGTATAAATATATATATAAACTGTACTGTGACTGTGAGACCTTTTGCAAACCCAGCCCTGACCCCGGCTAAACTATAAAACTTATCTGGGGTTGATAGCCAGGGCTAGAAAAAAATTGATAATACTTTATATATTATAACTTTATACTTACACTTACTATTTATTAAATACTGGCATACATATTTAAATTCAAATTTATTTCCAACAAGATTGCAAGCAACCACTATTAAGTTATGAGTTAATTTGAAATAGAGAATAAGTTAAAATACTAGGAAACATATAACTGAAGACTTAAAAAGTTGTAAGTTGTATAAAAAAGAAAAAAAAGAAGATGGGTAAGAATTATAAGGTTTTTTTGCTGTTTAAGGAAAAAAACTGGATTAAAAGTTTTTTTAGCGTGAAGGGACAGATATAGTTAAAGGATGCAACTAGTTGAATAAAAAGCCAAGCAAGAATGAGTTTTGGTTTATCAAAATAGAGATGATAGCTCGTTTGAGCATTGACCATGATTGTATTTGTAGAAAAAAGAAAGAAATGCAACCTTTAGAGAGTGGCTAAAGCTTGGCAGATAAAGTAGGTCTCAATACATTTGTGCTTTTAGATTTTGTCTGAGAGTAAGAGGGTTGTTATTCATCAATATAGGAATGCCAACAATATTACAATACTTTTTTGCAGTAAATGAGTTTTGTTATTTAACAAAAATTGTTGATTTTAAGTCCAGAATTTAAATCCTTAATCCACTGCAAGTCTTAGGCTGTTACAGAAGAGAGATCAGATTTAAAATCTTGTTCTAAACAATTAAAAAGTGAAGATTTTTAGTCAAGACAAGAGTGTAAAGTTGAGTCGTCAACAAATAGAGCCACTATTATAAATAAATGCTCAAATAAAATTATATTAAAAAAAAAGCATGGCTGGAATCAGTGACTTTGAATCCATGCGTTTTAACTTTAATGAAATAAATGATGTAAATATAGACCCCGATATAAACTATTCCTACAAGGCGCTTACGGATTGCTCTTATCACTTTCCAAGCGATTTAGAAGGGTTTCTTTTTTAAAATGTTTTTTTTTATAAATTATCATAAGATTTCATGAAAATCATTATTGTAGATAAAAATAAAGGAACAAAGATAGAACCTTGTGGTACTTTCAAAGTTACTTGAAATAAAGAAGAGGGTAGGCCTTCAAGAATAAATTTACTACTAAAGTTAGAAAGAAATAATTTAATGACCTCAAAACCTTAATATAAAGAAACTAATAACAGAGTGAAGACTAATTGTAGGATAGTTGGAGAGGTCAAAGAGTTTTCAAAGAAATTTGAATGGAACCACTTATTTAGCAATTTTGAAAAGTTTAGCAATAATTGAAGAGAGTTCTGGAGAATACTTTTTTAAGACTATGGTGGAAATCTATTCTGGAGCACAAACTGTAGAAGTGATTAATTGAGAATTAACTTTAACATTGGAAGCCAGAGTGATTTCAATGTTTAACAATGGGTTAATCTGTTTAACTGTCAGGAAGAGTATAGTCATTATATTAAAGAGTCAAATTAGAATCAGATTTCTTTGCAAATAACTCTGCTTTATTCTGGGGAGGAGTAAAAAGATCAGACCCATGAATTAGAGATTAAATGTTAGAATTACTTTAGTTAATGACATTGTTGAAGACTAACCAAAAGTCTCCAGAACCTAACATCTGAGACAAGATACAAAAGATTTAGTAAAATGAGAATAATAGAGCTTAACATCAGACAGGACTTTTTTACATTGGCTTCTTGCAATAATAAAAAAGATATTTGTTCTTATAAAAAAATAATTAATGTTTGATGAAGCAACTGCTCAAGATGGTGAAAAATGCGGAGTAGAAGGAGGCTCGACTTAAAGTTGAAGAGAAGTAATAAAAGCTTCCAAACTTTTATACCAGAAGGAATAAAAATTTCCAAGATGGACTTTATGCATACATATTATGGATATAAACATATATGTTTATATTTATTTAGATGCTGGCATACAAAATCCTTTCATTGTTATATAAACTTTAGTATTTATATGGAGTAGTATTTGCAAAAAGAGAAGATGATCAGATGGATGTGTGGTGTGACTTTAGCAAGACAAGAAAAAGAGACATAATCTTAGACAGATTAGAAAAAAAAAAAAACAGAAAAAAAATAAAAAAAATAAAAACTTTGTATCAAACAATGTTTGTTAGAAAAGAATAAAGTAATTTAGGTATCAGCATGTAGAGAGGTAGCACCTTCAGTAGAAAATGGTAGTGGTAGAAGTAAGAAAACTTGAAGAGAGTGCCTTACATATTGCATGAATGAGCTTTAGTTAAGAAAAAAAATGCTCTAGATTGTTTATATTAGAGAAACAGCATAAAAGAGGAAGGCTAAAGCCTGATGATGATGACGATGATGATGATGATGATGATAATGATCATCATGATCATGATTATGATCATCATCAGGCTTTAGCCTTCTTCTTTTATGCTTTTGATGATGATGATGATGATGATGATGATGATGATGATGATGATGATGATGATGATGATGATGATGATGATGATGATGATGATGATAATGATGATGATAATAATGATGATTATGATGACCAAGTTGATCATAATGTTGTTTATATATGCATATATATATAAAATATAACATGAGTTTCAAATAAAAAATATATACTTTAGGATGTATAAATGTTTATGCAGCCCCAGTCACAAACCCGGCCCCGGTCCCAGCAAAATTTATCAAACCCGGCCCAGGTCAAATATCAACCCCAGTCGGTTACTATTTATGACAAGCTTTGACGATGTATGCCAAGTTATTTATGTCAAGTTGTTTTTGACAAGCATTGACAAATCTTTGTTAATGTCTATTATTTTTTTTCCATTCTTGCTGTTTTAACTGTTGTCATTTTTCCTTTTTTTTTAACTTATTTATTTACTCAATTGTTATATTTTATTATTCTTTTTATTCTTTTGTATTTTATTATTTTCTACTCAAATGTTTTAAAAACTGTAAAAATGAATTTTTTTTACCTCAGTAATTTTAGAAAATATTTTATAGTTGTATGAGATTTCCTTGACACATTTGATTCAACATATGGTTTCATAATTAATCCACAGAAAAGAATACTGAAAAATAAATATATAAAAATAGAGAGATAAAGATATAAAACAATTATATACTTTTGTTTATTCATTGTTGGTTTTTTTTTAATTTTTTATTAACCAATTTTTTTGTTGTTGCCATTAAAAAAAGTTTAACCTCATTATTCCAGAAAAATGAAACATTTCAGCAGTCAAGTATGACAAATACGCCATTAAAAAGACAAAAGCTGGTTCAATAACTAAACAAGTTTTTAAATTATTTTTAGTCCTTTTATATTAATTATTTTAATCTTTTATTTTTTAATATTTTTGTTCTTTTATATGAATTAAAAGTATTGTTATAAGAATTATAATAAAATTTAAAAATAATTATACCTCTGACATGCTCTGTAAACCTTGTCATTAAACTTGTAAGCAGTGCAAAAATTACACCAATCAAAGTACCACCCAAAGATACCACAATAAAAGAAGCAAAAGCAAGTCCTATCTAAAAAAATATACTAATTTTTTAGTAATAAAGAGCTTAACTTGTAATTGTAATTATTGTTAAAAATATCTACAGTTATTTATTAATATTATATATTATTCATACAAAGACAAAAATTTAAATTACTCTGGTTAAAATGGAATATGCAGATTTTATAATATTTAGCTTTATAAACATTACAGTTCTCCAAAATACCTGTTCAGCATTGAACTTCCCTTTAGATAAACTCTCAAACGTTCGATATAACACAACTGAGGCCGCATCTGATAAAAAATATGTTAACTTTATTTTGAATCCATTTTCAACAAAAATAATTATACTAACCACTAAAACTTTTCAATAAAATAAAAAAGTTAAGATAAAAATAAATATTTTCACAAATATTTACAAAAATATTTACTAAAATATTTACTACTATACAAAGTAAAAATTATTTTAAAATATTATTATTTTTTTGTGTTTTAGATTTTTATATTTATTTTAACATTTAATATCAGTTATTTTATACATATTTACATATTTTAATATTTAATTAATTTTAATTTTTATATTTATTTTAACATTTAATATCAGTTATTTTATACTCATTTTAATATTTAATTAATTTTAAATTAAAATAAATTAATTTTATATTTATTTTAGTTATTTTTATATTAATTTTAATTTTTAGTCTTAATAAATACAATGTAAATATGTTTTTTCATGTGTTAGTGATTTATTTGACAAAGCAATAAAAATAAAATAAAATTTATATTTCCTTTTAGCTGTCAATGTAAAAAAAAAGAGTAAAACAAGTGGTGCTCTCAGCAAAAGAGATGTATCAATAAAAGAGATTGAAATAGTAAAACATGGAAAGATGGTAAAACATGGAAAGATGTTAAAACATGGAAAGATGGTATGTTGATTATGCAAAAATCTTTGTATCACTAGATCATTGTATCACTAGATTATGTTGATTATGCAAAAATCTTTGTATCACTAGATCATAGATCACTTTGTATCAACCAGATCATATAAAAAAACTTGTACAACAGAACTTGTACAAAAAATTGTACAACAGAAGAATTGATAAGGGTTTGTCAAAAAATATATTTTAGATATTTTATGTTAATCAGGGTGGTTCTTAATTGAGCTCCATAAAGGAAAATAACACTAATTTTCTATTAAAGTTTTTTTATCTCAACTTATAAAAGCTTTTAGATTATATTTTAGATTCTTAAACTCCAGTCTTATAAATTTTAAAGATAAACCATCTATTCCAGTCTCAATAAATTGTTAATAATAAAAAGATTTTTGGTTTTAACTTAAAATCTAAATCTAATTTAAAAATAAGTAACACTCAAAAAACAGTAAAATCCTAAATGATTGTCAAGTTAATTACATATGAATAAACAATATATTGCATTATTGTAAAAAAAAAGGTAACATCTTTACTACTATAAAGCACATAAAACATCATAAGAAAATAAATTATGCAGCAGGAAACATTTAGATATTTAACCTCAGATAGCCATTGATGTTACTCTCAATAGTGTAGCTAGGTGTTCATAGGAAAAACTTAAAGAGTATGATAATTTAAAATTGGATGGTTTTTGTATAATCCAATAACTGATTACATTGGTCAACAAAATGAAGCTTTTTTTCTCAATGCAGACAAAAAGTTTTCTGAATGTATTTTTGATGCTCAATCCAAAGCTGATTACGGTTTTGTTCTAGCACATATACAATTAAATTATTTTGTTTTTTGTATTTTATGAAAATATTCGTAACTTTATAAAAATCATAAAATTATAAAAAAGTAATAAGTCACATTTTATGCAAATAATTTATTTGTAAGAAGTAAAAGTACACATTGTACACTAAATTAATACAATGCGGTGAAGTACAAACAACTAATTTGTATTAAAGATATTATCTTGTAAAATAAAAATATTCATATTAGGAGATCTTAAAAGCGTTAAGAGTACCCTTTTAAACATTTGGTATGGCATTTCACAATAAAACATCCAACAATGATTAGTCATCATGTTTTAGTTCCAAAATTCTTGGTAGCATAGTTCTATAACTTTAATGTCTTGGTGAAAGCGTTCCCCTTTCTTGTCACTCACTGCATCAATGCTTATTTAAAGAAATTTTACAATCCATTTTTTTATAAGTACCAATCAGTTTCTTCATCCTTATATGCATGGGACTTGTTCTTCCCCAAATAGTTTATGTATTTACATTTAAAAGTCAGACAAGCTTTCTATTCCAGTTGACTAAGTCTCTGTTCAAATTCAAAACCCAATAAAATCTCCCTGATTTTTGGCCTAATAAATACTACTGCCTTCAATTTGCTGCACTAACTTTCGTAAATTTCTTAAAAAGGTATTGGAACCTTTATAAATTGACTTTACTCATTGCTTAACAAAATTCTTTATTAAACTTAATTTAATATAGAGAGGTGGTAGGAAGATCATTTGAGGATCATTTGAAAATCATTTGAGGAAAGGAACAGACTGGACACTGCTTGTTCCTGGGACATATGCAGATCTTAGTGTTCAATCACACTTCCTGTAGTTTCTTATGTGACACAACTTATGTCCCACAGACAAAGGAAACAACAATAAATCCTGCTTTCATACCCATAAACATACATAATACTTTAAGGTTTCTGCAAATGTTCAATTGATGATTGTGATATTTGATTGCCTTAAGTAGTATATTCATGTCTCCTTTAGACAGACAGAAAGAACATAGGGATGGACAGCTTGACATGTTGCTTTTGGTAGGAACTGATACAAAAATTTATTTCAAGTATACTGATCTTCTGTAATCTTGAGGTGATAAATTTCGCTCTCCACTGTGAGAAGCTGCCTGAAGCTTTAGACAGTGAAAGATCTCTAACAAGATCATTCAATTGTCTTTGGATTATGTTTTGAATTGTGCATGTTGCCAGATGTACGATACAATGTCTGCAATAAACAAATGAACATGTAAAACTATAATATACAAACCCAATAAAATATTGAAAATGGTAGTAGATTACCTATATAAAAAAATGTAACATATCTTATAAAATTGTGTGTGAATATAAAATCTTTACATAAATGCTTTCTGCTAGAGAAAATCTGATTGTATTTTTGGAATCAGCGTCAAAAATAAACAGACCAAGATTATCTCTAATGAAAATTATTTAGTGACCAGTGTTATTTAACATAATACTATATGCATTATTTATTATATTACAGTTTTTATTATAAAAGTAAAACATTTACCATTTAAAACAGATTCTCCAAAGACAAGCATATAAAGTAACTCGTGCACATGTACCTCTTCAAATACAGCAAGAACCTATCAAAACATTATTTTCATAAATTGTAATTGTATGGTTTGAACTTTAATTTTTAAAATACAGACTTAAATACAAGCAAATAGAAGACATATATATATATATATATATATATATATATATATATATATATATATATATATATATATATATATATATATATATATATATATATATGTATGTATATATATATATATATATATATATATATTTGTCTTCTCTGTTTGAAATTTAATGCCAGTGCATGAAAAAGCACTGCTCGGATGGTCATTTTTAGGTTGGTCTGCACAATTTAAAAATTTTTTTTCTGCTATTTAAATTAAAACAAAAACAGCGAAAAGAATGCCTTGAATAAATGGTAGATTAAATAATTTTAAAAAACCAGCAAAACGAACATTTTATTTAAATTCTAGATAAAATAATTAAAATAATAATAGCATTAAATTATAAAAAATAAAAAATGTTTTATATAAAAATTAAACAAAGTAATTAAAATAAAAGCATAAAGACGTTTAATTAAAAAAAAGTATTGAAATTCTAAATAAAATAATCACATTAAGAACAGAAAAATAAACATTTTATTTAAATTCAAAATAAAATAATTCATAAATAATATTTTCACGATTTTAAAGTGTTTTATAGATATTATATTTATAACATATATAAAGATATTATACACTATAAAAAACGAAAGAGAGATTATTTAAAAAAAAAAACTTATTTCTAAAAACAATCGTCAGTAAAGTAAATTATGTTCTGAAACTTAAAAAAAAAAATTAATAAGCCCATCTTGCAAATCCAAAAAGTGCTTCTGTGAAGGCAAAAAAAAAGTCTTTTTTTGCCATATTTATTTTTTTGCTATAAATATATATAGCCATATTAATTTTAATTATAAGAGAAAAGCAAACCGTTTTATCTCTTATAAGCTCTACATATGCGGAAAAAGTGCATGTTAATTTTTTTAGTTTTTAAAGTAATTTTTTTTAATTAATTGTTCTTCTAATGTTGACTAAAAATTATTGAAGTAAATAAGGAATAAGTATAGAAATGATCGATGTGTAATAGATAGTGTGAATAGATTTACAAAGACCCTTCTTTTATGGGTTTGGTCAGCTAGTTTTTATATAATTTCGCTTCATTTGAGATCAACATGACATACTTTTGAAAAACTTTTTTTTGATATTAGGGACCTTTTTGATGTTTAAGGATCTCGTGGCACCCCTAAAAATATTTTTTATTTTTAGGGGCGCCACGAGAAAGGGCGTCATTGGAAGATCCACCCCAGATATGGCAACATATTTATATTCTCTTTATAGATATAAAGAATAGAATCGGATGTAATAAAGTGATGACCACAATAAAGAGATGCAACCTTAGCAGATGCTAATTTTGCAATTGATTTGATATATGGTTTCAAAGAAAGATTATAATTAAGAGTTAATCCTAGAATATTGCCATACTTAGCTTCTTTAAGGTTGGCAGATCACCATTATTAAATGTTGACCCTAATTTCGAGTGCTTAATATATATATATATATATATATATATATTAAGCACCCAAGTTTAAGAAGGCCACTGCAACCAAGGAGGGTACTTTAGTTGTGATTACAATCCTCTCACCTCAATAACTCCGAAACACGAACCTTGACAAGCAAGGTCGCTGCGCGGAGAAAAAAGTTAGAAGGTGTGAAGTAGCTTAGTGTAAAGATAATAAGTGCATTGCACACGTTTTGAATTTGTCTTCACAAAAAGTTTTTTAAATAAATAACCTACGCCATGCTTTTGTAAAAATTAGAAAAGTACTCGGCATATTTAAGGCAATTTATAAACTATTTGAATTCTTATAATTGAAATTACATTGGTTTTATCCAGTGTAGTATGCCCAAACAAGAGCTTTAAATAGTATAATTTTTTTTTTTGCTGCGTTTTTTTTTTTTATATTTAAAGAAACTTTTTTTTTTTAAATACAGTTTTCAAAACCTTTTTAGTACCCCTAATAGTAAATCTAAAAAACACCATTTTTAGTACCCCTAATAATAGTAAATCTAAAAAACTTTTGGAGTCTTCAGATCACTTTTGCTCATCGGTACATGAATTTAGTTAAATTTTTGTGACTTAATTTTCTATAGATCCTAGTTCTAATTGGTTCTGACATATATTAACTATATATAGTTGTCCATATTTCATATCAATAAACACAATATTTCTATCAATTTTCACAAAAAATACTAAAATTATGACCAAAAAAAATCTTATAATTAAGAAAAATTGCCAATAAACGATCAGAACAGATAACATTATTAAACTATGATGTTCATTTTACCAAAGAAACATATTTATTCAAAATCTCATTCAAATTTGGACAAGCGATTGTGGTTTTAAGAAGATTTTTAAAAAAAAAAAAAGAATCTTCAGTCTGGGTTTTTTTGCTATAATCATTTATATTTTATGATACCACACAACTTATCACTTATTATTATTTTATTTGTCTTTTCATAATTCGTAGACCTGATTATTTCACGGAAATATGTTGTAGTCAACAAAATATGTGGTAGTGGTACAATGGTAAAGCGCTCGTTTTGTAAGCAAGAGGTTCCGAGTTTGATCCCCACCACATCCCTGGCAGTACCGTGCTCAACTCGTTTCCCCTAAATTATTATCAATATTTTTGCACAGCTATTTATATAAATATGCTTAAAAATATTTGTTGAATTTAAAAATAATATATATGTGTGAAGAATCAACTTTTGAAATTTAGCAAAGTGAATAATCAACTGATACAGTAAATTTTCTTTGTCAACTGGATCTGATAATTCTATATAAACAATCATTATTATCATCATCACAATCATCATCATAACTATATTATATATATATATATATATATATATATATATATATATATATATATATATATATATATATATATATATATATATATATATATATATATATATATATATATATATATATATATATATATATATATATATATATATATATATATATATATATATACAGTGCTTGTGATAAATTGAGCGCGATGGCTCCCGAAATGTGAAAGATGCCCGTAAATAAACTTCCGGACGCAACAAATAGCGCTTGCTGGTTTTGTTTCGAAAGTAAAAAATCACATTTTTTATGGGCATGTTTCATGTGATGAATCGAGAGCAATCGCTCCCGATTCATCACAAGGCCTGTATATATATATATATATATATATATATATATATATATATATATATATATATATATATATATATATATATATATATATATATATATATATCTTAAAAGAATAAGTGACTTACTGCAACAGGATCAACAGCAGCAATAAGAGAGCCAAATAATAATGCATGCAATATTGATAAATTAACATTACACATGCTTGCCACAGCAAACAATGAAGCACCTATGGTATAAAACCTAATATAACTTGATTTAACCTATAGGGAAAATATTCAAAAATGTTCTTAAATAAAAAAATTTAAAAACAAACTTTTATCTTGACTCTATTTGTTTAAAAACAAACAATATTGAAAACAAACAATATTGAAAACTAACAATATTGAGAAAAAACAATATTGAAAAGGAACAATATTGAAAAATGAAAGTATTGAGAAAAAAAACAAACAATATTGAAAACTAACAATACTGAAAACAAACAATGTTGAGAAAAAACAATATTGAAAACAAAAAATATTGAAAACAAACTAAAATAATCACCAGTGGCAAAAGCATTAAAGAGAGTGCCCTGAAAAAAAAATGTTTTGTATAAACTTTAACAGGTAATGAATTTAATTTAGAAATATTTTTGAACAACATAAAACAAGAAATAAGAAACAAATAAATAAAAAAATACACTTACCAAAACAGCATAAAGTAATATTGTCCCAATGTTCAAATAAAAAATTGTTGATGGCATAAAATATCCTGCGTCAAGAATAATCCTAATCATAAAAAAATATAATTAAAAATAAAAATGTCGATAAAGATTATTTTTTGATTTGAAATTAAAAACAGTCCAACAACTATAAAATTCAATAAATGCTCCATAAGAACATAATCATAAAAACCAGGGCTGTGGAGTCAGAGTCAAAGTTGCAACATTTTTAGCGGAGTCAGAGTCGCTAAACAAAATCGCGACTCCGACTCTAATAGTAAAACTTCTCGGTATTGTACGTGCATGTACAAAACATTCAGTTAAAATTATGTTCATACTAAACCTCATTATCTTTAATATGAACACAACATGTGTTGGGTGTTTGGGATCCCTTTAAAGAATTCAAAGAATTTTTCAAAAATTTTGCTTTGGAGTTGTACTCAAAAAATTTCGTTACTTTTTTTTTACGACTCCACACCCCTGATAAGAACACAATCATAAGAACATAATTATAAAAACATAATCAAAAGAATCATAGGAATTGTTTACATTGTTTTTTTTTCTCAATGTATAAACAAAACAATCAACTGAATAAAAAAACTTTAATATTGATAATGATTCTCTAGCAAATTTATTATTTGTATTTAAATATAATACCTTTTTTAAATTTATTATTTGTATTTTAGATTAATAGATTAGATTAATAATAATTTGCATCTTTAGATTAACATTTTTATTATATAAAGAAACAAAAAATGGTAAACATGAACTTTAAATCGAATAAAAAGGGTCAAGTATAAAGAATGAAAAATGATTCAATTAACTTTGAATTGAATAAAAGTTAAAACCATTACAAACCAAATGCAAAAAAGATACCTAAAGGTATTTTGATACAAATATAAATTCAATTATTATATTTTATTTTATTAGATACTTTTTTTTGTTAACAAAGAGCTTTAATTTCATCCAGTGAAATTACAGTGTAGAAATAACAAATTCTACACCAGTTTTAATTGAAAACCAAACATTTAGATTTGTTTTCAATTAAAAAAACACATTTTCTTTAAATATGTTAAATTTGAAGATGTTTAATTCAAATATCACACACACACAAAAAATATTCAATAGTATGTCTATCTCAAAAAAATATTCAATAGCATGTCTAACTCAAAAAAATAATAGTATGTCTACCTCAAAAAAGCTATAGAGTCTTAAAAATTCAATTATTTAAGTTTCAAAAGATTTTATGTAAATTACAAAAATAATAACCATTTTAAATAAAAATTGAAAAAATATCATCAAAAAAACCTTGAAGAAGTCTAAAATATTTAATTTAAGTTAAAAAGAATTTTGCTTTTACTTATATAAATGTAATTTTCACACATTTATAGATGTAATTTTCACACATAAATGTAATTTGTTGTTTTTTATTTCAAAATAAAATTAGCCTATTTAAAAATTTTAATTTTTATTTGTCTAATTTTTTAATACAGTATTTTTTCTAAATAAACAAAATCATTGTTATTGATTACTTATTGTTAATATTACTTATAAGGAAAAGATTTGTACATAATACGACTAACTGAAAATGAATAAACATGTTCTTTTTTGTATACAATAATGTAAAAATGAGATCTTCCAAAACATTAGCAGCTTTTTTATTACTACTAAAAGTATTTTAATGTTATTAATTAATGGTATATTTGAGGATCATAGCGCTTTTTGGCATATACTTTTATTTTTCTTGTGTATTTAACATTGATTTTTTATTATCTTGTGTCTCCTTATTCCGTGTGGCTTTAATAGCTTTAAATAAGTTGGCATTGTTAGCTGATGTTACTAACATTTTTATTCTTGTTTTGATAAGAGGTCAACATTCTCTGATTGTTTGGAGGGTGCATTTGAGCTTGAAAAGGATTTCACTACTGCTACAGCATGGGGCTCTCAGCAACTGTATAAAATTTTTTTTCAGATAATCTTTATTCAACAATCTAGATCTTTCTATAATTATAGGAACAGTAATGTACAAGTTGAGTTATCTAACCTTTATCTTCTAGGATTAACTCTTAATTCCAACCTTTCTTGATACCATATATAAAATTTATTGCAAAATTAGCATCTACTAAGGTTGCATTTCTTTGTCATACTCACCACTTTCTTATTTGGGATTCTTTTCTTGATCTCTATAAATCTTAAATCCATGATGTATGGAATTCTGTTGCCATATCTGGGACAGATCTTTAAATGATGCCCTTTCTCTTTTAGACAAGGTGCAAAAGCACACATTGTCTAAAAGAGAGCAAGGTACAGCCAATTTTCAACCATTGTCACATTGTTGTAATGTTGCTTCTCTTTCTCTTTTCGATAAATACTAGAATAGGCACTGCTTAAAGAGCTAGTTTCTCTTGTGCCACATTCCAAAACTCATTCTTGTGTTATTCGTCATTCAATTAAGTGTCATTCATTTACTGTGATTGTTCCAAATGCTCCAAAATTTCTTTTTTGCCTGGTTTCTTTCCTCAAAATCAGTTCTTCATCTTGTTTTTCTGATTCTTATAACTTGCAAACTTTTTGGTTTTTTGATAGCATTATCTTGATTGATAAACTTCATAGTTTGTCCAGTAACTTCCAATTCTAATAATGGTTGCTAGCAACCTTGTTGAAAATGAAGATGTTTAAAAAATATATACATACAGCTCATAGGTCTTTTTGAAAAGCCCTTTCTGCTTTAGAGAAAGTTTAACTTTGCCATAAATTATTAACTGGATTGAGATCATGTGATTAAGCTGGCCACTTTATTACTTCGATTTGATTAGTTGCATAAAAAAGCATTGTTTATCAAGAGATTGTGTTTTGGGTTGTTGTCCTATTGAAACTTTTATAGAAGAAAATATTATCAGCATACAAACTTCTAACGAAGAGATTATTATAAGCATACAAACTTCTATAGGAAAGCCTAAACATTGCATTTTTTTCCAACACTGTGCTTAAATGTCTGTTCTTTAAGTCTTCATAAATTAAAGTTGTACATTGATTCATCACTTTTTTTCCAATCTTCTAATTTCTATGAACATTTACAAATTTAATTTTAGTTTTTTGATTTTTTGGAGAAATAAAAGGCTTTTTATTTTCTGAAGCTTATAAGTCTTGAAAGATGAAATTGTCTGCAAACTGTATTTTAAACCTTTACTGAATTTTAGAAAGTTTCAGTTTTTAAATGGTAACATCATTAGTGTTGTCAAAAACCTTTCTTTTTGACTAGTTTTTGAATTTTTTTTAATCAGTAAAACATCATGTTTCATGTTATCTTTCATCCTGTGCCATTTTTAAGATTGCCTTTACTAAATTGTTTGACTATTTGACATACAATTGACTTGTTAGTGGAATACTTGTAGAATAATTTTTTTTTATTATTTTAATGTTTTGAAAAATGGAAGAAAAAATAAAAGAGAATCATTTCTCTATAAATACATAAAAATCAAATATTTAAGTATTTGATTCCCACCAAATACCGCTATCTTAAAATTGGTAATAAATATATTTATATACAATAATAATATTATATTGAAGACTAATTTTTGATAATTGCAGCCGTTTGATGGCAATTATGTTCAAAATATAATAAAATAATTTGAATAAATTTACACTAAATTTTAGATATTTAATTTTTCTCTTGAAGTAGTATTTTTAAAACTCAAGTTATCTTATAAATAATCCGCAAATATTTAATAACATATTATGTACAAATCTTTTTCTTACATGTAATATTAACAATTTGATTAAATCTAAAGAGTCCTTTTTTTTTTTTTAGAAAAATGCTGTATTCAGTATTTGAAGTTGAAAAAATATGTTTTTTCAACTTCAAATACTTTTGGAGGACATTGTATAAATGTAAATTATTATCTTTTATTGTTTGTGATAATTATTTTGGTTTACCAATAGGTAAATTATATAAAAATAACCAAATGCCACTCCTTTGCAATCCCTAATCAACCCCCTGTAAGCAGTAACCAGCATCTCCATTTAGAAACACCAATTTAACTGGTTCTTATGTGACTAATATTTTTTTGCCAAGATTTTATTACACTCCTGATTTAAAAAAAAAAAAAGAATTTAAGAACATAATATCTTACGGTGGTAACAAGTAAAAAAAGAAAAGTTCAGAAGTCAAATATTTTTCATTATCACCAATAGCTCTAAATAAAAAAGTTTTACATAAGCGTAAAAAAGTTTGCAATATAAAATACAAATTTTCAAATATAATTTAAATATTTTTTTCAAATCAAAAAATTATAATAAAGGTTAGCATTTTTAATTAACAATAAAATTAATGAAAAACATACTTTAGGGTGTAGCCAATAGGTATACCTAACAATATCAGTAGACTAAAAAATAAGAATAAATAACAATCAAAACATAAAAGCGCAAAAAGTACAATGAACCATAATAACATAAAAATACAATAAACAATAATAACGTAAAACAAAACTAACATAAAAATACTATGAACAATACTTACATAAAACTACAATGAACAATACTAACATAAAAATACAATGAACCATACTAAAACGAAAATAAAAATAACCATACTAACATGAAAATACAATGAACAATATTAACATAAAAATACAATGAACCATACTAACATAAAAATACAATGAACGATACCAACATGATGCCTGAAAAACAAATTGAATTTAATAAATTGTCAAGGTTATTCAGGAGTATGGTCTTCAATGATCATCCTGAGTAAAGGCTAGAAATGGTGTCTCGTAAAAAAGACTCATCTTGGGCAGATGTTAACTGCATCCAGCTACTGTCTTGTAGAAGGCCTCCTAGGCAAAGACTTTAGGGGTAAGCAGAAAAATTCTGCTAACCAGCCTCGAACCCCTTCTTCATCTATTAGGCTGGCGTAGATGTAACCTGTGTTACATTGTTTCCTGCCTAGGATGATGAATGCTGGATCTCCTTGACTCTACTAATAGAATTTTGCTTATGCCTCCTTGATAATGGCTATGCAACTCTTCCTGTTATCTCCATATGAGGGTACAGCTCTAAAAATCAGTTTAATGGTTCTGAGGCCGGCTGGTAATAAGGTTTCCTGAACTCTGTGGTAGCTCTCAGAGAGGCTGATTCCATCAACAGCTGCAAAATATCAGAGTATTAACAGTGCCATGTTGCGCATGGATGGTGTCCCTGTTAATGCTTTTGGTGTGCATTGTCAAGGCCACATAAGGAGCCCTATGTCACGGCTTAGGGTTAATTAACAGGACTGAGACAACTGCATAGCTCATTGATTAGAAGGCTGTGCTCTATCTATGAATGAGTCAAGTTCTCATTAAACCCAAATCATGACCAAAGTAACCAAAAATTTAAAACCTAAAAAACCATCCCCACCACCTAAATATTTTAATACATCTTTTACAAATATTCGCGGTCTACGAAGCAACTTTCCATCAGTTGAGTCTTACCTCCTGCGAAATTCACCAGACTTGCTTGCACTCAGTGAAACAAATTTAAGTTCTGCAATTCTATCTTCAGATGTCAGTGTTGATGGCTACTATCCTTTGATTCGTAAAGACTCAAATAGTCACATGCTAGGTTTAGGGGTATAAATACGCATTAATTCCCCTATTTGTCGTGAAATCAGGTTCGAATCCTTTGATCATTATTTTATGTGCTTTCGCCTAGCACCTCTTCACTCTATCACCTTTCTCTTTGTTCTTTATCATTCTCCTTCTTCCCATGATTGCACTCTTTTAGATGTTATCTCTGATCAAATTGACCATGCCTTCTCTCTTTACCCCTCTGCCAATATTGTTGATGTTGGTGATTTTAATGCCCATCACACTGAATGGCTTGGCTCTAACACTACTGATCCTGCTGGCACTAATGCCTTTAACTTCTACGTTTCTCAATCTCTTATTCAGATAGTTAACTTTGTGACTGGTTTTCCTGACAACCCTAATCATTTACCTTCACTCCTTGACTTATGTCTTGTCTCTGACCCTAGCTTATGTTCAGTTTCTCCCTTTTCTCCCTTAGGTGGTTCTGACCATGCAATGATCTCTATAAATCTTTCTTCTCGTACTTCTTTTTTGGGCTCACCTTATCATTGCACCACCTACTACTACCCTAAAGCTGACTGGGATTCTTTTCGTGATTTTCTTCGTGATGGTCCTTGGGCTGATGTTTTTTCTCTCTCAGCTGATAAATGTGCCTCCTACATAACCTCCTGGATTCAGGCTGGAATGGAAGCTTTTATTCCTTCTTGTCGGTTTCAAGTCAAGCCTCATTCTACTCCATGGTTTTCTCCTTCTTGTGCGGCTGCTATATCCAATCGTAATCATTTTTTTCATCTTTTTCAAAAGAACAACTCTCTTGAGAACAAACGGCTATTTATTATTGCAAGAAATCGATGTAAAAAGGTGCTTTCTGATGCTAAACTCTATTATTCTCAGTTCACTAAATCTCGCATCTTATCGCAGAAGTTAGGCTCTAAAGACTTTTGGAAAATCTTCAACAGCATTGTTAACAAGGGTAGATCTAACATTCCATCTCTCATTCATGGGACTGATCTTATTACCTCTCCCAAGGATAAGGCAGAACTATTTGCAAAGAACTTTTCTTCTAATTCCACTCTTGAATCTTATGGACATTCTCTTCCTTCCATTCCAGTCAAACAGGTTGACCCATTGTTAGACATTCAAATCACTCCGGCTTCTGTTGCTAAAGTCATATCTCAATTAAACTCGTCTACAGCTTGTGGTCCAGACAACATTCCTATCACAGTCTTGCAGAATTGTTCTCCAGAACTTTCTTCAATTCTCTCTAAACTATTTAACAAGTGTTTGACTGAGTCTTGTTTTCCTGCTTGTTGGAAAATGGCATCTGTGGTTCCAATATTCAAAAACTCTGGAGAAAATTCTGACCCCACCAATTATCGTCTGATCAGTCTTCTTTCTGTTATTAGCAAGGTCTTTGAGTCTTTGATCAACAAATTCCTCACATCTCATCTTGAGTCAAATAAACTGCTGTCAGACAATCAATATGGTTTTCGACCCTCTCGCTCTATGGCTGACTTGCTAACTGCTGTAACTGAAACTTTGGCATGCTGGTCTTCTCCATAAGCTTGCTTCATATGGTGTTTCTGGGAAAGTTTTTGAGATTATCAAATCATTTCTTTCTAACCGGTTTATTAAAGCCATCCTTGAAGGCCAACACTCTTCTTTATTTCCAGTAACTTCTGGGGTTCCCCAAGGTTCCATCCTGGGCCCTGTTTTGTTTCTTATCTACATAAACAATCTTTCTGACAATCTTTCATCTAAAGTAGCTCTTTTTGCTGATGACTCAACTTTATACTCCTGTCTTGACAAAAAGTCTTCTCTTTTCGATCCCCAAGAACAAGCAGCTGATCTTGAATCTGATTTCACTTGATCTGGCTTGTGAATTTCAACTCTAAAAAAGCCTAATTGCTTACTGCAAACAACTACCCTAATATGGTCAACATTCCTATATTAATGAATGGCAATCCTCTTACTGAGTCCTCCTCTTTACGTCTTCTTGGATTATCGCTTACTACTGACCTTTCATGGAAACCATATATACAATCGATTGCTAAATTAGCTTCTGCTAAGGTTGCTTCTCTTTAACGTGCTCGCCATTTCCTTACTTCTGATACCATTCTCTACCTTTACAATCCTCTTATTTGTCCCTTATGGAATACTGTTGTCATATTTGGGCTGGTTCTTCTAACGATTCACTTTCTCTTCTTGACAAGGTCCAAAAATGCATTATAAATGTTGTTGGACCTGGACTATCTGCTAAGCTTGAACCTCTTTCCCATCGTCGTAAAGTTGCATCTCTTTCTCTTTTCTACAGATACTATCATGGTCACTGCTCAAAGGAGTTATCATCTCTAGTTCCATCAACTAAAATTCATTCTCGTTTTACTTGTCATTCAGCTAAGTCTCATTCGTTTACTGTATCTGTCCCTGCATGCTCTAAAAACTTTTATTCATCTAGTTTTTTTCCCCGCACTTCAATCCTTTGGAACTCTCTCCCATCTTCATGTTTTCCTGACTCATACAACCTTTAACTTTTCAAGTCTTCTGTCAACCGTTTCCTTGCTCTATAACTCTGTTCTTTTTTTTTCCTAGTAACTCCCAACTTAATAGTGGTTGCTTGCAGCCTTGTTGGGAGTGACTGCAAATAAAAAGAAAAAAAAAAAAAACATAAAAATTGAAATGTTCAAATTAAGAAATGTATTAAAAAAAAAAAAACTTTTAATTTTACTATGCAAAAGTCCATTAGAACATTTAAGATTACTCAAAAATCCATTAGAACATTTAAGATTACTCAAAAATCCATTAGAACATTTAAGATTACTCAAAAATCCAATTTGAATATTATTAATTCTATTTTTTTAAATCATTCTGTTAAATTTATTGAAAATTCTCTATATAATTCTGATGAAGATGCATAAAAACTTCTGATGGAGAAGCATAAAAACTTCTGATGGAGAAGCATAAAAACTTCTGATGGAGATGCATGAAAACTTTTGATGGAGATGCATAAAAACTTCTGATGGAGAAGCATAAAAACTTCTGATAAAGATGCATGAAAACTTTTGATGGAGATGCATAAAAACTTCTGATGGAGATGCATGAAAACTTTTGATGGAGATGCATCAAAACTTCTGATGGAGCAGCATAAAAACTTCTGATGGAGCAGCATAAAAACTTCTGATGGAGATGCATAAAAACTTTTGATGGAGATGCATAAAAACTTCTGATGGAGAAGCATAAAAACTTCTGATGGAGATGCATGAAAACTTTTGATGGAGATGCATAAAAACTTCTGATGGAGAAGCATAAAAACTTCTGATCAAAACTATGATTAAGCTTTTTTTCATTTTTAAAAGATTCACAAGTTAGCAAATATGTTTCTCAATAATAAAAAAAAAATTGTTTAACTCTAATATAAAATAGCTAAGAATTTTCACAACAGTCTTGGTAAATAGTAAACTTTATTGGTTGACTCTAATAGTTTGTTGAAAATACAGTCAGATTATTTTATATTTAAGTTTTGGGTTTTTTTAGAATTTAAATAATTATTAAAATTTTCTCATACTTTTCCACCTGTTTTTTTATTTTAGACATTTATTAATTAATTGATTTATGTTATAAAATATACCAAGATTCAGGGACATGCGTTGATAACCAAGCAGAATGATGGAAACCTAAAACAAAACAAAAATCCAAAATCAGCATATACATACATACATACATATATACATACATACATTTATATATATATATATATATATATATATATATATATATATATATATATATATATATATATATATATATATATATATATATATATATATATATATATATATATATATATATATATATATATATATATATACATTAGTGTGGTCCTTAAAACAACTTTTTTTTTTTAAATGTCTGCTCTCACCCTCTAAATGTGTTCTATATAATAAAATAATACTAGAATTATATATATATATATATATATATATATATATATATATATATATATATATATATATATATATATATATATATACATATACTACCCCTCCTCTTTTTTTCACAAAAAAAAACAATATTTGCTATAAAAAAGATATAAAAAAAAAAAGTCCTCAATTTTAAATAAGAGTGGCACTCAAATATGGACAACGCTGTCAAAAACTGTCTAGAATAGCCATTTTTAAATTACCTTATATGCACAACAACTTTATCCAATATTTGCCTATTTAAACTGAAAATAAAACTTTTAGCTATTTTGTATGAAAACTGTTAGTCTAAAGAATAAAATAGGCTAAAAAGTTTTGAGTCTGGCCAAAAGGCAAACTTATTACTGAAAATACCACTTAACTTAGAAAAAAATTGCTTTAACTTTTAGGTCAGATTTCTGCAAACCAGTAAAGGGATTTGTATTAGGAACATTCACAAGATGTTGAAAATTCTATACCAATTTAAAAAATATTTAAAAATTTATTGTAAAGGCGACCAGCAAAGGAAAATAAACTTGTATTTTTGATACTATATATTTAACTTATGTTACATCATTTATATTACTGAGCAATTATTATTGTGGATTTTTAACATCTTTTACATTTTTTAGAGTTATGTAAAAAAAGAATGGCAAAAGTATTGAACTCATTCATTAAAAATAATTAACAAAAGGAAATTTTAAATAAACTGGTGGCACACTTTCTGAGTGATTTTTCATAACATTTACGATAGTTGTCAAATCAAAAACAGTTTTTCCGCAAGTCCAAGAGCAACTATAAAAAATTATTTTACTATTTTATTAATAATTATTTGAGTCATTTAAATAAAAAAATCTTGGGTTTGTCGAAGTTTTTACTTACACTTTTTAAGTTAATCATAAGTACACTTCTTACGTTTATGCATATTAAACATTTCTTAAGTTAATGAAACCATTTGTTTTACTAAAACAAAAATAAAAAAGACTTTAACTGATTTTTTTTATATTAGGAGAATAGCAAATAAAACTTTTTTTTTTTTTTTTTAAATGTCTAAATAAAAATATTTATATAATTCTTATTTTTATTTATTTATGTATATTTATATGTCAACCAAAATAAGAATACATAAAAGAATACATAAACAAATAAAAAAAACAAAATAAATAATTTTAATTAAACATTGAAAAAATTTTTTTTTTCTAAATTCTCCTAATATAAAAAGTTTCAGTTAGAACCTTGTCAAACCAACGCCACAAAATAAGACTTACGTAATAACCTAATTCATTTTGTAAACAATAAAAAATTAACGAAAAAGTGCCAGAACTTTAGTAAATGTATGTAGTTTTAACTTATGTTACACAAGTTTAAAATAAAAAGTGCTTTAACTAAACATCGTTATTCAAATGTTTTAATGTAAAAACGTAACATTTAATATTCTTTTGCGTATATTATTAAAAACCTTATACTTTTTAAACTAAATTTTATAAAAAACAAAACTTTATCATGTTTTTGTTAACTTATGTTACATGAAAATTGCAAAAGTTATATCGTTATATTCTTAAAACGTATATGTTTTAAAAAGTATAAAATCTGACCAACAACAATTTGAACATGTTAGCTTCATTTTCACTCTAAATGAATTCAGATTAAGCAAATAAATTCATGGTTAAAATAGCATTTTACAATAATATTTTTTTTAACATGCAACAATGAGAAAAACCGTAACTTTCGGAAGCATAAAAGTGAATTAATGTTTTCAGAAGCATAAAAATGACTTAATGTAAATAATGTTATTTTAACCATGAATTAATTTGCATACTCAGAATTAACTTTAGTACTACTTTACATCAATATGGATTTGGTAAAAGTTGACGAAAAAGAGAATAAAATTTGACTACTGCATTATATTATGCTGTGGAAATGCCCCTATATATATATACATATATATATATATATATATACATATATATATATATATATATATATATATATATATATATATATATATATATATATATATATATATATATATATATATATATAAATTTGTAATTGCTAATTTGTAATTGCTCTGTTCTTTTAAGAACATTGAGCACTCTTTTTGTAGAATACATTTTAAATTGTTTATATATATATATATATATATATATATATATATATATATATATATATATATATATATATATATATATATATATATATATATATATATATATATATATATATATATATATATATATACATATATATTAGGGTGTGACATCCGCCCGGTATATTCTAAAAAAGATCTGTTCATATTCTTAAAACCTTCTATTGGTTCTCACAAGCAACTTTATTAAATTTTTTCAAATTTTTATTGGATTTATGGGGAGCACTAGACCCTTGAACACTTACCGTGTCCCTAATATTATATAAAGAATATAAAGAAAAAGATTTTTCAAAAGTATGTCAAAACTTTAAAATAATAATTTTTTTATAAAATGATTGTTATTTTTATAATTTTTATACAATTTCGCTTCTTTTGAGACCCAACATAACATAAAAAACTTTTTTTCAATATATATATATATATATATATATATATATATATATATATATATATATATATATATATATATATATATATATATATGTATATATATATATATATATATATATATATATATATATATATATATAAATATATACATATATATATATATACATACAACCCTTATATATATACATATATATTTGAAATATATATATATATATATATATATATATATATATATATATATAAATATGTACATATATATATATACATACAACCCTTATATATATACATATATATTTGAAATATATATATATATATATATATATATATATATATATATATATATATATATATATATATATATACATATATATATATATACAACCCTTTAAATTAGGATCGGCATTCAGCAATGACAACCTAACTGCCGACCTTAAAGTGTTTGATGTCGGCGAAAAACTGCCGACCTCATTTTTCTTTAATCTAAGGGCTGTATATTTATATATATATATATATATATATATATATATATATATATATATATATATATATATATATATATATATATATACATATGTATATGTAAATATATATATATATACATGTGATAAAATGAGTTAATTTCAATAGGACTATGGGTTAGTTTCAATGAAGTTCTTTTCCATGTTTTCACTGACTTTGTAATTCTTTTAAATCATATAATTATACACTTTTAATGCTTTTAGCTTGATTGTAATTTTATTCAATTAAATGAACAAATAGACCTAAAATATTATAGGGGCCTTTATACTTTATAATATATTGTATATTATTATTGCTAATATAGGGCTATTGGCCTACTAGTTAGTAGAGCTACTAACATATTATTTTAGCAGTGTTACTAACATATTATTTTAGTAGTGTTACTAACATATTATTTTAGACGTTAGACCCAAGTTTTGCTTTAAATTATATCTAGCTTTAAAGTTGTTATAAGTTTTAGGATATGACTATAACTGGTTATATTCTTTTAAATCTGCATTATCCATTATTAAAAATTTTACCCCATTTTGCCCAATGCTTGGGGCAAAAAAGGGTATTTGTATATTTATATATACTATTGGCAAGCTTAATAAAGTCCCATGGAGCATATTTGATACGAAACCCTTGGCAGCCATTACAACTGAGGTATTGGCAAGAAAGAGTTGCAGCTTTGCTTTATAAGAGCTTTAAATATTATGTTAAAATATACTTAAATATACTTAAATATATAAGCTTTAAATATTATGTTAAAATATACTTAAATATATATCAAGTTTAACAGTTTGGCTTTTACTCAACTCGTTTCTCCGCGCAGCGGCCTTGTTCGTCAAGGTTCGTGTTTCGGAGTTATAGAGTTGAGAGAGGGTTATAGCCACAAAATAAGTAGCCTCCTCGTCTGTAGTGGCCTTCTTGGCCTTGAGGAGGTGAAGTAAAATATAAAAAAAAAAAAAAAAAAAAACTTGAAATTTGCATTGTGTCAACCTCGCCTTAATTTTTGATCTTTTGAGCATTTATTTCCATTAAAAACAATTTTTATATATTTTTAAAATTTCGAGGAACAACCTGCCAGCATGGCCGAGTGGTTAGCGCGCTGAGCTTCTAAACAAGCAAGCCGTGGTTTGAGTCCAACCGGTGACTTTTTCTTTTAATTTTTTTAGATTTTAAAAAATACAAAATACTTGTGATGTTTTATAAAGGTTATATATTAATATATCAAACAATATTATACACTTTAACAAACAAAATTTTTTTTTTAAAAACCTATAAATTCTAAAAACAATAAAAAACAGGGGAATATTTGTTGCGTATGTGTCATTATTGAGATACTTATGTTATTTTAGTTTTACATTTTAAGTTTATTTACAACTAAGTAGAGTTCGTGCAAGGAAAATGAGTATACAACATGTTTATATATATAGAATATAAAATTATTAGAACTATAAAGTTTTTACGATTTTCATTTTAAATAAATTAAAAAACAAACAAGCTAATGATTTTAACTTGCCACGCACTGACCTTGAGTTTTTTTAAAATGAAAAGGGGACTTCAAATGTTTTTAATAAGAAAATAATTAAAAATTTTAATTTTATATTTAAATTTAACCATTTTATAAATTTTTTTTATTTTTAAAAATAGTTAAAAATTAAAATTAAAAATTTAATATTATCATAATAAGAAAGCTTAGAATC